TTATATGACTTCATGTAGGCTATGCTTTCTAATGTTGAAATCAGCTTCCAAAACCAAAACATTTTGAATAAAGCAAGAAACAAAGAGTATGCAATGTAACCATCTAATTTATTTCAAATCCTCATTCTAGAAAGTGAAATTCTATTTTGGAAATTTTGCATGAAATCAAACACGCTGTCATGGTCGAGGTTGCTTCACCTATCACGATGTATTCCAACCATCATGAGGCTATCTAAATGAGCATTTGTCATGAACAGAACGCCTATTATTTTTAATTAGTCTCATTGAATTATTATTATTATTATTATTATTATTATTATTATTATTATTATTATTATTATTATTATTGTTGTTGTTATTGTTATTGTTGTTGTTGTTGTTGTGATGATGAAAAGTTAACACAAACAATATGGTGGCTAAACGAATATTATATGTAAATATTTTTTTTTTTATTTGTTTGTTCCCCGACCAAACTTATTGTCCTCCCCGACGGGAGGGGGGGTATGCTTCCCCGACGGGGGACTATAGTCCCCCAGCCCCCCTCTGGCGCCACCACTGTTAGTACGGTAGGCTACATGACCAAAATTCCAAACTAATCATGATAATAACGATATAATTGGGGCCGAGTTGACATGGGGCCGAGTTGACACGAATTCGTCATAGGTACTTCAATAATTACCCAAGACCGCGGCCACCTAAAAAATAAAAATGTTCACGTACATAACTGAAATTCAAATAACACTTTTTATTATTCGTGCAGCGAAATCAAATATTACATAGGCCCTATGTCGTTTTAAACGACCCATTTTATTAGCATGGTAACATCAATGTGTATTTTTTTTTTTTTCAAAATCAGACAGCGGCCAGCATTGCAAATCCTTCTCAGAAGTTTTGTAGACGTTTTATCTTCGGTTGATGACCTTTTTGACCTCCAGAATTGAGATTTTCGAGTCGAGTCTGTCGAGACCGCCCGCGATTTTTTTTTCCGTACGAAACATTTGCATGAAACTTCACTCGGGCCATCTCGGATTGACTCGAGCATAGTCAATAGAAAAATACTCGAGTGAGTACGATACTAGGAACAAGATCAGACAATTCGCAATGTCGTGACGCTCGAGTTTTACTATTATTGCTCTTTCTATGTTTACCTACGGTAGGCCTATGAAATCTTACGGACTTATGGGATATACGTGTGTAACTAACTGTGACCTTCTTGGAAGTTATTAAATATTAGTATATTATCTACAACAACAACAGCTAGTACCTCCTGTTATAAAGTGTAGATAGGTACAGTAATACCAATGGTTGGAGAAAAAGAGGCCTAACAGGCTGAGGTCTTACCTAGGCCCCTCCTTAAACTAGGCCTAGGGTCATAGGCTGACACCAACATACTGACATTGACTGACATTTTTGGGGGGAAAAATAGGACAAAATTGAAGCATGAAATGAAAAATAGAGCGCATAAGAGAAATATAATTAAATAAATAATATACCATTCCGGCTATCATTGTAATGTAATTAATGTTTAATAATAATAATAATAATAATAATAATAATAATAATCATCATCATCATCATTTCAGCATTAATTACCTTGGCCTAGGCCTTGTAATGAAGAACCACAGATACCGTACTATTTACTAGGCCTATAAATAATAATCGCCCAAGGGGAATCTTTTGTGTTATTCCCCTTAACGTCGTTTTTTTAATTGTTCTCTAATTCCTCCATTGTCTAAGTTCCCCTTAAGGTACAGGTAATAATAATAATTAATAATAATAATAATAACAGTATTAATTACCTTGGCCTAAGGCTTGTAATGAAGAACCTACAGATACTATTTACTAGGCCTATAAATAATAACTAGCCCAAGGGGAATATCTTTTGTGTTATTTCCCCTTAACGTCGTTTTTTAAATTGTTCTCTAATTCCTCCATTATCTAAGTTCCCTTTTGTACAGGTAATAATAATAATAATAATAATAATAATAATAATAATAATAATAATTTCGGCATTACATGTAATTAACTTGGTCTAGCCTTGTAATCAAGAACCTGCCGATTACTATATGCCTAATATTAATAACTAGTTCATTTTTACATACATTTGGTGCTCTGCCGTTTTGGCAGGTCTCATGGCATCCAGTATTTTAGAGCTGTCTATTCTCAGTTCTTCTCTTAATTTGAAAATAACTGTCACCCTGTTTCATTTGATGAAGAAAAACGCGCTTTTCCTTACTCTGAAATGTGGGACTGTCCCGCACGATGTGAGACGGTTGGTAATGCCTTTTGTAAGCCAGGACCTAATAGTATTTTGTTAAGTTTCTTCACAGAGGGGGGTTTGCCCGAACCCCCTGGATCCGCCACTGGATAAAATATATGGAACACAATATAATAATAAATTTGGCCACTGAAAATAGATCAGTTATTGGCAGCCATTGATTAGAAGATCTAGTTGGCACACATCTCATGATATTCTTATTACTATATTATTATATTAAATTATATATTACATTATATTGTGCATACATTTTAGATTAGAAAAATTAGCCATTATCTTGAAATATTCAAACTAATTTAACCATTTAAAAGAGAATTCTGCAGTCGTGCATTTTGTTTTTGTTTTTTTTAAAGATATATACATAACATTCCTTTCTTTTTCTCTTCCCTCCAATGAGGCTGAGCTACTTATATTAATATTATTATTTCTACCAATTTTATTCTACGAATTTAGTCTTTAATTCTCATTTTACGTTTCTTTCTTTTTCTTCCTTGTCTTTCTATTCTTTCCTAAGCTTTCTTTTCATTTCTTTCCTTGTCTTTCTTTTTATTTGTCATCAATTACTTTTTCTTTCTGTTTCCATACGCTGTACTTTTTTTTCTTTCTATTTTTTCCTTTCTTTCTTACGTTTTGTTTCTTTTCTTTTCTTTATTCTTTGCTTTTTGTGTTCTTTTCTTTCCTTTCTATTTCTTTCTCATTTTCTTTCTTTTTTTTTTGCTTGCTCTTCATATCTTTCCTTTGTTCCCCCTTCTTTCCTTTCCTTTTATTTCATTCATTTCTTTCTTTTATTCTATCTTTTCATTTTTCTTTCCTTTTGATTTTTATGAATTGTTTTGTTGTCTCTTACATTGGAGCTTACCGTGTGAAAGTGTGAGCAGTTAAGTTCATGAGATGTAAAGTAGAGCAGAAATGCTCACTGCCTGAATTTTTATCGACATTATACAATTTCAGAATGTAGAACGTATATTTTTTGAGTAGGACCCCGTATAAAATTTACAATAGCTATAACAGAAATATCGCTATACATCCTCACTTCTTAATTATCGGGGCACTTGACACATCCTGAGCACAGTATGGGTATCTTGGCACCACTAAGGCTCAGGAAGTCCTGCCTTTCACACATTAAAACATATACTGTATATAATAATGAAACCTATTTATCATGTAGGTAGATAGAAATTCTTTATTTGTCATACAATTCTACTATTGGAAATTAATAATTATACACAGTCCTACTTAATAAACAAAAATATATTTTATAATTTTATCTTACTTTATTGTGTACACTAGCCATTTTATTTCGCTTTGAGTTTATTTATGTTTAACAATTAATAGTTGTAATTTAAAAGTTTTTAACGTTTTAAAACGATTTTATTACTGTAGATGTATAATATAAACAAGATAGAAAACTACAAATATATAGGCCTACATATAAAATATAAATTCAAGTGTCATATGATAAGTTATGGAATATAAAATCATTTTAATTCCTTAATTATTTTTTTCGCCTAATGCATTTTATTATCCGTGGTACTGGTCTGCATTTAATAGTCAACAAAAATGTTGTAAATATAAACAGCTTTCCATTTATTTTATGTCCATGTCTACTGCTCATAAACCACACACTACTATACACTATAAACTAATAAACGGAATGATATGAAATATTCAAATAATTTTAAGATTTGACAAGAGCCAAACCTTAGCATTACGACACACCTATTGATATTGCTGTCGTCTTCGGCCAGTGTTATTCCAGATGCTATCTACTAATCCAAATACTATTAAAACAGTAAGTTGCTATCACAACCAATAATCCTATTGATATATATTTATCAATTTGCTGAAATTAGAAGTTTTCAAAATGATGGATAAATGCAGCACCATCAAACTTATTCATTTCCGAACAAGCGCTGTCCACTCCATTGGTCATTCCGGGTGGCCCACAACTAAACACACCGACTTTTGACACCTGTAAAATAATGTAAAAATTATACGCACTTGCAAATAAACAATACTAATATTTTCTATGAGAAAAAGTGTTTTGTACATATTGAATTGGTGTTGTTTAGGCGTTAACGTGACTTATATTTCTTACCTCAGGGTGTTCATCCTGTAGTGCATTGAAGAATGATGGCAGGTCTGGACGACCAAAATGAGTAGTTGATTGCAAACCAGTGAAAAGTGATCGATTTGCTATCTTCTGGAAGTGTCTTTCGCAGATGTACTACGGAATAAATTAATATATTAAGTTAAATAAATTTACCTACTTCTAAACATTATTGAAAAATATTTAACCATAGTTCAGATTGTAGACACAGCTCAGCGGTAAGGCAACTACAGCTATTATTTTCTTAACATTGGTGGTTTTAGCACTCGTCACCCAGGGTTTGGGTTGGTAGGACTGTCTTTTCAGATAAGGAATTAAAAACCAGTGTACACATCTGGCTTGTTTGCATTTTATAGAACCAAGTGTACCTTTCAGAAGAGTAGAAGGTTACCCGATGAATGATGTGAACATGAAACTGAAAGCGCCTCTCTATACGGTGGCTAGGTAGTCACAGACCTGGCAATAGGCATCTTCCCGACACCTACATTTATCACAATGTGAAATCTCCCTAATATTAGAACAGTTTACATTATCTCCGTTACTATTGACATTTATCACGATGTGAAATCTCCCTATTAGAACAGTTTACATTATCTCCGTTACTATTGACATTTATCAAAATGTGAAATCTCCCTAATATTAGAACAGTTTACATTATCTCTGTTACTTTTGACATTTATCACGATGTGAAATCTCCCTAATATTAGAACAGTTTACATTATCTCCGTTACTTTTGACATTTATCACGATGTGAAATCTCCCTAATATTAGAACAGTTTACATTATCTCTGTTACTTTTGACATTTTTAAATATACGTAGAAGTTTTACTACACAAATAAGTGTTAGTTATGTCATTTTGGTGAGTGTTTTTTGACATATTCTTTGTAATCAGTACATCTTATGGATTGCATTCTTAATCAAATAAATAAATTGACAATATATTTAATAAACGGATTGAACAAAGGATTGTAATACTGTATGCCCAAATAGACAAAAGCTCAGACTGTAATAAAATGTAGCGTTATAATAAGCGTTCTTTTAATGGAGTATGCTCAATAGTACAAAGTAGAAAAATAATGAAATTAAATAAAATCGGGGTCGCAGAATAATAATCCCCCTTTGGGTTCACGGGGAGAGGTTTTTATGGCTTAATAATTGCCCGAAATTGTGCTTTAAGTCCACAATATTGGGGATTGTCAACTAAAATAACATTGTATGAATAGACAAATTATTATTTTGGTGTAAGATGTAGATTTCTTACCAGCATTGTGGTTCGTAGATCAAATTTCTGGTAGAACTGTGTGATAAATATATGAGTGCTGACAAGATCTGTAGTATCCTTTTCTTCCACTTCTCGAATGATGTCACATAGCCATTCATAATGTTTCTGAGTCCGTGTAATCCAGATGAAATATACCTTATAAAGATTTAATGTATATATTATTAGCAATTAAAAAAAACATGTTCATAATGAACGAACAACGACGACGATGACAACGACGACGACACAAAACTCAGTAGAGAGCACTCCCAAAATATGTTACTAATTTCTCTACTTCAACCACCACCACTACCACCCTTCTATCCACTCCTGTTCAAATATGCACAGTACCTCGCCCGAACAATTTTTCTTTCAAAGAATTTCCACTTTTCATATGTTTTTAGGAACTCTCTTTAAGGATGGCTATTTTCAGATTTTGTAATCAATTTCACCAAAATTCAATATCAGCCTAATTTTCACTACACATGTTACGTTTTGAACACAGAATTCAAACAACATATAGTATTGAAACATTTTATTTTCAACTAGGGATTGTAAAAAAAATGTGACAACCCACTTATTTTTCTACCACCACTTACTGAAAAATACACTAACCAGCCAACTGGTGTAGTATTATTTGTATGTCTGCCAATTCCTTTCTTCTCCCAGTTAATCACACATTAACATTTGACTTTTATAGTCGACAAAATAAATAAATGCCAGGTATTGGTGTTGAAATGGAAATATTATGCAAATAGACAATGGTTCATATCGTCACATGTTTAAATATAAAGATGCATTAAAATATTCCCAATAAGTTCCCAAAAACTAAAGTTAGTAGATTTACAACGCTGTACACATTTATTGTAATAGTACTAATTTGAATATTCATCACACTGTTGTTGTTAGCTGCCTATGGTAAACTTATTCTTTAAATTGTCCTCATATTCACACCCTCCTTTGGATTGTGACAAAAATTTAAAAACTTTTATTAAAACATATATTCTGCCAATTATCATTTTTATCCATTGGTCCATTTCGAGATATTCAGGTCTGGGTCCTAATGTGATCGCTAGGTAAGGCCTAGCTTGGCTAGGGCTAGATGTAAAAATTAGATTTTCCTAGCTTACCTAGGCACATCGGTACCCTTCTTGCAGTATAACTTGGGATAGTTCTATGCACGTACATCAATTGTGGAATTATTCGTAAAAATATGATAAAAGCAGCATAAGCCAAGATTGTAGGCCTGTTTTCGGCCTTGACTACAATGGTTAACACATAGCTAAAATACAGTTTGTGCCTTAACAACGGGTGCGCGTACCATTTCCATGAAGAGACACAAACTTCACTCTACGTGTAAACAACATATGCTGTGTTTATTCTGATCGTTTTCACAAACAGACACAAACTTTTCACGCTAATTAACAGGTTGATTAAAGTTAAGAAACAATAAATAAATTACACATTTGGATTGTTTAATGCTTTATCTTTTAAACATATGTAAAAAGATATTCAAAATTCTGTTATCTTGATAGTGAAATTTACGGATTTGTGAAGTAGTCCCCTTCAAACGCATTTTTCTAAAAACGTAAAAATTGAAGTTTGTGTCTCTTCGTGAAAACGGTGACGATATGTCGCACACAAAAAAAAAACACAACGTGACACACACGCGCAGATACAAACTCACACGACTGAAAATATATATCTCCTATAATAATAATAACAATAATAATTATTATAATAATAATAAATCATTAAACTGTATGCCATTTTGAGGCACCTGTTTATAAATTTATAAAGTTTACGTTGTTTGTAGGTTGAGTTTGACCGACTACTCAAGATTCAATTAGGCCTATTTAATGCTACTTTAACCAATGAGGGCAATTATTTACAGTCACATAATAACAATCAAAATGTTAACATTTAAATAAGAAACGCCATCTTCTTAAGCAAGTTACATTAAATAAAGCAGCCTTAATGTCGTAAGTAAATCAATGAATAAATGAACACCCCGCGCAATTAAGTTAGTTTGACATTAATATAAGAGTAATAAATTTTACCATGAAGTTGATTTTTCGTTCACAATCGCCGGAAAACGGTGTATACATAACTTAAAACAATAAGGTTGCGTTTTATGATGGTTCAAAGAGTAGGCGATATTTTTTTTTTGTACAGATAATTGTATTATCTGTATCATAATATTAGTTAGTGAAATTTGGTAACAATTTAAAATTTGTATGGAAACTTATATGACATAAATCTATTGAAATTCACTATCAAGCCTGTACATGTTTTTTTTTATATAATAGACTGAGGTTACTAACAAGATATGACTCTAAAAGAAGGTCAAGGAAGGGTAATTTTTGTTTTATTGCTCTTCTATAGTGAATGTAATTGATGTGTTTGTCACGGCTCAAATCCAATCGTTTTTCTTTATTTCAATTTCTGAACTGGACTCCCTTTCTTTTGGTTTTATTTTTAATTCATCCATTTTTGTGCAATTGGGCTGTTTTTTAGTGCTTTACAAGTATATCGTCATTACCATTACCATAATTTAAAAAATCGAAACAAATATTGTCGACAAAGTTGGTAATAAGGGGCAGCAGTAAACGATTTTAACCAAGGAGGTTCATGGTGTACCATGAAAAATTGTAAGCTAGGATGGGTCCCAATAAAGAACCCTTTGAGACACCATCTATTTGGTTATAAAATTCGTTCAAAAAGAAATGTTTTTTAGAAGTTAAAGAACACAAAAAGCTTCTTCAAGGTCATCTTAGATAGGTTAAATAAGGTCAAAATGTAGTCTATAGCTAAATGAAATGGATTCGTTTATTGAGATGTTAATTAATAAGCTTTCGACATCGTATGATAATACCCCCTCACTTAATCATCCATTGAGCCAAATCCCCGTCCCACACATTTCATCTTTTTAACCTTGTCGGCCCCCTTAGATACTCCACAAAACAAATCCATACAGCTGGACAAAAACTTTTCTTTTCTGTTGTAAAATATCAAGTAGGCCCATATATTATCATGAAACATCGGACACTCACCTTTTTGCAAGGGAACCTGGCATTAGTGTTGGCTCTATTCACAATATCTTTCAAGATTGATGCAAACGGTGTCACGCCAATTCCACCACCAACAAGTACCGATACTTCAAACTGGTACCAGTCTTGATGGCCTTCACCATAGGGTCCATCCAGGTACAACTGTAATAATAGAACATGAAAAAAAAAATCATGCACAAATAGGAATTTCCCGCTTTATAGACGTAAGAGCACATACATAGGTGAATTTTATTAACAAAATTTCCGACCAGTATTTTTGGTTTGTTAATAAACGTATTTGTATCTGTACACTGTATTTGTTTTGATTTACTTTATTTATATATATTAAATACACGCATATTCTATGCAATATGACGGACAAGGTTGTTTACTTCTTGCTACATTCTCCATAGAGTGGATCATGTGGTCTTTACAACGTGGTCTTTCTCCTCGATGTTCTTCGCGCTTGATCATGTCAGGGCTTGACTGACTGAAACGGTTTGGACGTTGTTGTTAATGTTGTTAATGACGACGTGGGTAAATATATTTGAATATAATTAAAATTGCATTCACTTCGTGATGACTGAATATCGTATAAAAGTACAGGCTTTTAGGCCTAGAAGAATTTTTTTTTTTTCATGGTTAATGGTTGTATTTAGCATGAAAATTCCATGTTGAGGCGTAGGCCTGGATAAATTGTCAAGTGTGGTCTTTCAAATGACGTGACTAGCGTCATAGAGTAAAAGAATACATATATTCCAGCCATAATATCACTTTTATTTAAAAAGTTACACAAAGATTTAATAATTCATTTAATGACTGATGGAAAGTGCTACTTTACCAAGTCAAATACATTTAATAAAAAAAGCAGACTTAACAGTTATTTACAAACGTCAAACTTCGTGGTTCAATCTTCTTGAGTCATAACACAATTTCTTCAACCAGGAGTGGTGGCTGACCACCACTCCAAAATTCTGGTGAGAACTCTGTACACACATACATATATACATATGCATATGTTTGACAATAGGTATTTTTTGGTCACCAATAAGTATACAGTCAATTTTTTCAACTAATTTTGAATGACGAAAACCAAATAACATAAAATTGCATTTACTAACGTTAATAGAAAGTTTGTTAACATACCTTTGGATAAGGATGCTCTCGAACTGTATTTGGATCATACGTATGACGAATATTGGTTGTCCATGGTCCAACAGCTCGAATGTGAAGAGACAGATGATCTTCGTGTGGAGCAGATGTTAAGGTAAACGGATGGTATTCGCCGCTTCCAAGTGTTTTGCAGGCAATGCGCACCCATTGACCAGATTTGTACTCAAAATTAGTTGGTCGTTTAAACACCAACCCTGTAACATCTGCATGCAATAAAATGGAACCCATTATGTGAATGTAATATGGTGTAGTGTAAACTGTATTTGTTGTTAATGATGTTTTTCAAAATCTTGTATTTAACTTCGATGACAGTTAAAACAATTTACTTTAACTTAATCCTATTAATGTAATAATAATAATTATTATTGTTGTTGTTTTTATTATTATTACTATTATTATTATTATTATTATTATTATTATTATTATTACTGTCATTAAAGTTGTTCTTATGAATTATAATGTTATTATTAAAGTAAGTACATCAGGATTATTGTTTTGTGTATCGTATCCTGGGCACATAAGGTCAACAGTTGGTTTTCAACTGAGTTAAACATATAAAATTAAATAAATAAACTTGTACCATACCATATACCAACTCTATATTATGTTTAAAAAAAAATAAATCAAATATTTTTAATTCTGCCTATTTTTAACCCTTATATAATTAATTCCAGCTTTCCATACTACTACATACCAGAAGGTAGTAATTCGGCTTTAAAAACAGAGATCTCCGCTTTCTTGCGACTGATGCTAACCAGTTTGTCAAGAGTAAACAGGATAGCAGGGCCAAGAAAGAAGAACCAAAAGAAAGGAGGCTGCACCAATCGTCCACTTCCATGGAGCACCATTAATATGTAGAATATGATATACGTGTTGTGCGTCAGCCAGAACAAATTGAAGACATTTCGGCGAGCATACTGAGTTGCAAATACATAAATCACACAGGCCAGAAGTACCAGCAGAACACCAGTAAAACCTGTGGATAATAATAATATAATATTTATTCGGCATAAAAGAACAATTTAGCCAGGATGCGAGAATAGGCAAAAGCCCAAAAAATCAATATACTCGCTCCATAGAAAACAAAATAAAAATAACAAATTTAAACTTAGATACTAAAAATTTAAATTGAAATTAGTTAATTAATACATTGAAAGAAGATGTTTTGTAAGAGCAGACTTAGATAATGAAATTGATTGATAATTTTCAATTTCTATTGGTAATTGTTCTCATAGTCCTGGGAATATAACAAAAACAGAATTAAGAAAAGTATTAGACTTTGCATTCCAATGTATAAGTCTACCCTTACATCTTTGACTACTATTTACATACTGAGAAAATGAAGGAGGACAAAAACCTTTTAAAATCTTAAAACCTAGTACAAGTTTCTGAACTTTAAATGCATCTTTGATAGATAAAATATTAAGAGACTTTAGTCTATACAAATATGATGTCTCCCAAGAACCTTCCTTTCTAAACATTATTATTCTTGTCGCTCTTCTTTGAATACTTTCGATTCGTTTCAAATGTGAATTTTCAACTGGTGCCCACATAGAAGCACAATATACTATAATCGGTAGTAGTAAAGCTTTATACAGGTTTAACATAGCAACCCAAAACATACACTTACTGGATCGGATTATAAATCCAAGAAGCTTTCTGGCTTTACAACACACATAATTAATTTGTGTATGACATGATAACTTACTATTACATAAACACCAAGAAATTTGAATTCATTTACACGAGGAACAACTTCTGTTCCAATAAAATAATCACTTTGGTTAGTATTCTTACATCAAAAAAAAAATCTATCAGAAATACCAATTATAAGAGTGTACCTGTATTAAAAACAGACATCTAGCAACTAGCATGACAACAAATTTACAAGTATCATTATCATCATTTTCTTTACCCCTACAATTATGGTATATCTATAGTTAAGCTCCACCCAAACTTTAAGTAAAACAAAGAAATTATTTATCCATAAGCTATATGACTACATAACAACCATTTTAACCACCTCGGTAATATAATATTCGATGGAACAATTGTTATTATAATTTCATCAATGTTACTAATGGAGTGAGGCAGGGTCTATGTCTTCAATTCTGTATAATGTATATATCGATGATTTAACAGATGCTAACACCCGAGAACAACTTGCAATTTTTTTCGCAGTTGTTTTCAAATGTACTGAGTATTCGGTACATTTCCACGTCAGGTAGGGCAAAATTACACCTATACATGTTTCTCCTGACGCAAATCCAGTTATTGTCTATTATTCCATCATGGCAATAACAATTACTATCAAATGTTATCATTGTTTTGAACTAAAGGCCTAATTAGTTACTAAATAACAGACTTTATTTATCCTGATTAAGTAGATTGCAATTAGGATATGTATATAAAGACGTAATATAATGCACCTTATAAGTCGAAGTTTTCCTTTGAGTGGATATCTAAAATTCTCTATATATTACGTACCTGTAATGGTTTGCCAACACCAGTAATGAAACTTGGGGAGGACATGTGATCTATGGAAGAAATCTCTAAAGAGGCAAGTGAGATCATTTGGAGGTTGACTAGAGATGTGGTAAAAATTGATGCCATGTCCAATAGTGTGCATCACTGAAAAACAAAACATAAAATATGTTTTACCATGCCATATACCGTGATATAATCTTGATATCATCGTTGTTTATATTATCATTGTTATCATCATTGTTGTAATCATCATCATTACTGTCATCGTCGTTTTCTGGTTTTGACACCCCAATAGTCGGTTGTGTGAACACTGGATGACGCCACACCATTTATCTGATTGACGCTGGCAGTCTATATGCAAATGCTCTTTCTAGATGATCGTCGCAAACACTGGACGATGCCACATCATTTTTCTGATTGACGCTGGCAGTCTATATGCAAATGCTCTTTCTAGATGATCGTCGCAAACACTGGACGATGCCACATCATTTATCTGATTGACGCTGGCAGTCTATATGCAAATGCTCTTTCTAGATGATCGTCGCTAACACTGGACGATGCCACATCATTTATCTGATTGACGCTGGCAGTCTATATGCAAATGCTCTTTCTAGATGATCGTCGCAAACACTGGACGATGCCACATCATTTTTCTGATTGACGCTGGCAGTCTATATGCAAATGCTCTTTCTAGATGATCGTCGCAAACACTGGACGATGCCACATCATTTTTCTGATTGACGCTGGCAGTCTATATGCTCTTTCTAGATTTCCGTTGCGAACGCCTCGTTGCGTTGTAGTGTCTGTGGAATCACGCATTGCCGACGCAAAGTGTGCCAGGTTGTTTGTATGAACTTGGATAGGATTTGTAAAATTTTGAAGGATTTTTTTTGTCGCAAATGATTGACAGTTTAGCACTCATGACAATAATGCAATATAAAATATTTTCGAACATTCCCAGTAAATCCAAAATAGATTATGCAATGTTTTAAAAACTATCATAATAAGATTAACAAGTAAAGATGCTTTTTGTTGTATTACTCACCTGAAAAAAATAATGCATACAATGCTATGATTTTATGCATTGCCAAAGCGGAATCAAATGGAATGAAACGATGCAGAAACGTCTCCCTAAGCTTGGTTATTAAGTTACGACACATAGTGACAAGTAGAGAAGAAAATGTAAACATCATGGCACTTGCAGCTCCACGAGTGACTGTGACACCATAACCAGCAATACGACGCAAACCAGCAAATTCACGTTCAATCGAATAATCTAATCGAAATAATAACAATATCTTCAGTACCCTATCACTATATTAAATATTTCATTAAATGTACCAATAAATCATAATCGGCCTTGTAATGTTATTATTCATGCTATATAATTATTTCATTCTTAAAGTTTTACTAGCAATCCAAATATATATTATCTTATGTTTATTATTTGGACTTTCATGTATATGTCATTACATTTTACTTTTTTTAATTACTTTTATCAAAAAATACTACTTTATATTAGTATAAAACATTCATTTTGTTCTTTCTTTAAAAAAAAAACCCCCATTTATAATGGTGTTTATTGTTGAAAAAGCAGAACTACTACAATTGTCTCACATTAGATTTAAACAAAAACAATATAAATAGTTCAATACATCTGGCAAGTTTTATATTATGTAATTACAGTAACTATATTTTGATGGTTCAGATTTTGACGAATAATGTGGTAGCCCACAAAATGGGAAAATTTATTAAAGATACATAATACCTGTCTCTTATACACATCTATATATATATTACATATTTTTGTGCAATATCAATTTTCTAATTTTTAGCATATAATTTATAACTTTATAATGCTTTAAAACTTTGTTAACTTTGTTAATTTGACTTTTAAGTATAAATGGACTATAACTTAACACAACTCTGTGAGGTTCACAAAGTTCCAATTTCATAACTGAATATAACATGTTGATTGTTATTTTATTACAAACAAATGAATACAGATTAAATTAATTAGCACTCAAGTAATAGTGGATTTATTTCAATATACAGCAAGTCTTCATAGACAATAAAACTTACAGTAAGCACGTTCTGCAAATATTCCACCCAAAACCAACGTGTATAGAACAAACCAAAATATTTTCAGTCTCTCATTTTCAATGAAGCGCTTAATACGTCCGAATAACTTCTCAGATTGGGTGTTGGGATAATTTTGTTTTACCGTGTCAATCTCTACCGTTCTTGTCTGGCGACGTTTGATTCCTCCTTTAACACCACCACTGGTGGCATGGGAAGCAGTGCTGCTATCTGCATTTCCCTTTCTGTCAAGCAAATTAAGCAAATATAAAATAATGCTAGGCTATTTATTTTCAAAATACTGTATAAATGCTGGATTACCAGGTCATGTACAGGCTGAAAAGACAAGTTACAAGCAAGCATACAGAGTTGTCGAAACCTATTAATAATAATAATAATAATAACGATTTTTAAAGCGCAAACATCACCACCAAAAATAGGTGCACAAGGCGCAGTGTCAAAACAGCAGGAAGAGAATGACAGTTCATGAAAATATGTAAAAATATATACACTTACGCATATGCTTTAATAATGGTCTTACGAGCTCGTTGTGGAGCGTTCTCCCGACGAATAACTGTTCCACGCGGAGCAGACTTTACATCTGGTTGAACATTCTTAATATCTTGACCTTGAATCTGTAAAGCAGCATTGCTGAGTTCTTCTTTATGTTCACCCATCAAAATATTGAAATCCTGAAGGCTAAGTTCATTTTTACTTTCAAATCCTGCAGATTTGAACATTGTTTGCACAACCTCTTCCAATTGAGTTGGTTCCAAATCAGCACTTACTACTTCCATCATAGATCTGTAAACACAATTAAATGTGTGCATATTTTTTACAAAATAATAACAATAATAAACAATAACAAAAACAACAATAAACAAACCCTCACCCTATGTGCTATATCTATGTAGGCATACTGAAAAAATAACAGCATTTATGTACATTGTAGCCTTTTTCCCAATATATTGAAAAATCCTTTTAAAAAATCAAAAATTCTCATTCTTATTAGCAATAAATTCGTGGACAAATGCATGTAGAATTGTCATTTCTAGAATACTAATTTCTTTTTTATATTTTATTATTATACCTATTGACCGCTACTTTGGCCCACGTTCAGCTTGGTCTAGCCAAACGAGGCCTAGCAGCCTTGCGTTGCAAACCCATCAACTGGACGTTCCGCTCGAGTTAGCTTGGCCTCTGGTGGCGGGAAAATACTTGAAACATTCTAAAACCTGCATCTTACTTCCGACCAAATTTGATAAGGACCGAGATACATGACTCTAACCCTAGCATAGTCAATGCGTGAAAATTTGATGTAAATCAGTCCAGTAGTTTTTGACACCCCAAAGTAGGCACACACAGAGACGCACCCCTATTGCAACACCCTTCACCTCTCCTTCCCAAACTTCAGGCTGGGGTTTCAAACCTTCGCTGTGCATTTCGCTTGTGTCCTTAAGCAAGGCATTTTATCTACATTGCTTCAGTATACCCAACTGTAACCTGTGGTGGACCAGCATCCCTTAAAACTGGGGATAAGTTCCAGCCCTATGAGCCCTGTTGCTCGGAAAGGATTTACTTACGTATTCTTAAAACTGCATTCTTTAATAATATATATAATATATATAATACATATACATATATATACATATATATACATACATATATATATATACATACATATATACATACATATATACAACATACATATATACAATACACACATACATACACATATACATATATACACATATACATATATACATACATATATATACATATATATATATATATACAA